AGGGGTAGAGAGTGGGGAAAACCTTCTCCTTCCATTATATTCCAGGAGAGTTAAGGTGGAAACAGGATGTTGGTGTTTATGCGAAATATACTCCGTCATATCACTTATTTTATCACGTCGGCATATGTTTATCCGTGTGTGCTCCTTTCTTTCGTAGTTTTTATTGGCTTTACATATCTCATTTATTCTTGATTTCCGGGACAGAGAAAGGTACAATGTTACCTGCTGTGGTCGTAATAATATCAGTCTTTTGAACCATAACATCGTAGTTAAATATTCGATTCTATTTTAATTTCCCTAATGATTTTTTTTTTTCTGCCGCGTCAAAAATCTAAGGTTATTAGCGCCGTATTCAAAATTTAGGGATTAGGGTAAGGCTAGGGTCCGAAGCTCCAGGTAAAGAATATTATGGCAAGAAGGTTTAATATTAGTTAACGATTAGAGAAAAAATATGCTAAATGTCAAGTGATTGTCAAGAGCTATGGGTTAAAGGCTTTCAGGACTGACACCAAGCCAGCCTTTTATCCCTTAAGCACGGCTCTCACACATTAGGATGTGGCCAGAAGAGGATGAAAAAAAGAAAATGAGAGGGAGAAGAAAAGGCCAAGGTAAGGGATCACCCCGACCTTGGGCCTGTCTCCGTCTCCTATGCCCCCCCCCCCCCCCCTTGATGTGCTCGTCCCAACGATGCTGTGATTTTCATGGATAATGCTCATGCAAGAATTGAAAACGAGGTTGTGTTATCAAGGTTGTGTACTCGCCCTTCGTCGATCCCATCGAAAAGCGCTTCTCGGTATTGAGAACAAACGTTTAAAGACAACTGAATAGCGGGTTGACCGCTGTGATGCACATGCAGCACAATGAGCCACCTTCCGTACGCATGATTTTGCCATAGGTAATCAGAGCTGAAAAAGCCAACCTTGATGCTTCGGTATTTGTTGCAAAGAGCGACGTATGCTCGAGAGGCTACGACCAAAGCAGAGGGTATCGTGCAAACCCCCAAAACAACCTTAACTTTGCAACCTTCTATCTATTCCCTAGACAACGGGTACAAGTCCCTTTCCTTTAATTAGCACTTTGCGAACGTTTATAAAACTAACAGAACTGTGGTTGTGTGTGTTGTGGACTTCGGTCTCTGAGGGGTGATATGCAGCGGATATTTTCGCAATTTATGGGTAAATACGAAGCCACAGCAGATGTACCTGTGCTGGTTGAGACCATTTCTTGCACTGTAAGATGGTGGTGTCCATTTCCCTCTATCTCTGTGCGTCGCTATCGGCAACATTAACCAATGCAGCTCTGTGCTTATGAAAGTACCAATTTGCTGATGTATAAGTTGGCGATATGGGTGACGGTAATTGTATTATGGGGACATCATACTCAGGGTACTGCAGTCTTCTATCTGTATGTTTATCTGCACAAGTTTGCGGAGTCTGTACTTATGGATTAGTTTTGCCCCGTACGTTCTCACTCACTCTTATTTATTGAAAATTTTCTGACGCTTCAACATCTAAGCGGCGTATACAACATAAAGCAATAGGGCGAGGCTTGGGGGACAAAAACCCCAGGTAAAAAAAGGTCATACAAAGTATTGTGAGAAAGGTAAAAAATGAATAAACAATTAGGACAAAATGTGTTAGATAAAGGCTGTAAAGAGCGCTGTAGGTTAGCATGGTAGTGAAAAGGGTAAAGAGTAAATAGCAAATGGAGTACGAAGGCCGTCCAGGACTGACAAAGCCGGTCTTTCATCCTTTCAGCACAGCTCTCACACTTTAGGATGTGGACAGAAGGGATGAAAGGAGAAAAGAAAAAAATTAGTTAAGGCAAGGGCTGAGGTCCAATGTAGGGGTAATCCCCCACATTGGGCCTCAGTCCCTGTTTCCTCCCCCTCCCCTACTTCGACGACGATAAGCATGAGATTGGGGTGTCCTTAAATCAAGGGACAGCATCTCCACATTTCATATTTATATACATTACCAGCAAATACATATTTTGTTCTCTCTCAAATGTTTGAAGCCATCCAGTTTCTCATTACTTTTGTCAAAGTATATTTGTACTTTTTCAATCACAATGGGACACAGCCACAAGTAAAACTATTTTGTTACACTGTCAAGCACTTTTGTCTTGGCGACAATTAAATATGGATAAATGTCAAAGGATAAAACTAATTGATTTCTGACATGGAAAATTCTTTAAATCCACAATCTTCAATACCCTGAAAAAAAAATCCGGTGAAGAAATATTACACAACCACAGGGATTTCAGTCCATCAAGCGTTGAAGGTTTAAATGTGCTTATCTAAACTTTGGCATCCTTTACTTGGTAACATTTCATAGTATTTGGAAAATTTTAAAATATTATGTTGCAATGTTTGTATATAAAATAAATATTTTAAACCCAAGACAAGACATTTGAATTAATTAGTAAAGCCACTAACAAGTTTCTAGTGATTATGTTATAAATGCAAGACTGCATGTTATAGGGCAGTTTTGCTCAAAGAGTGAAGGTAACCCAATTTATCATTTACATGGAAAAATGAACATTTACTGCAAACATGTTAAATTCTTTATGAAAGATGACCGTGCCATCTTAAAGCTGTTCTTTTCATCAAAAGGAGAATGTTACTATGTACTCTCTTTGTACTTTGCCATCCTAATTAGGATGCTTTGTAAAGGATTAATGGAACTAATTTATTTATTTATTGCTGCATCAACTTACAAAGTCATTAGTGTCATATACAAAATACAGCATTTTGGTGAGGCTTGGGGGTGAAGCCCCTAGGTATGGGAAGGTCATACAGCTTTATGATAAAGTATTGCAGCAAAAAGGTTAATGAGTTAACAAAGAGGATACAACATGTTATATGTCAAAAGTAGTAGAACTGTAGATTAGCCTGGTTGTAAAAAGGGTGAAGAGGGAATGGCAAACAGTACAAAGGCTGTTCAGGATTGACACAGCCACCCTTTCATCATGGCTCTCACACTTGACAGAAGGGGATAAAAGGAAAAAAAAGATGCAGAAGACCATTCAAAATTAGTTAAGGTGAGGGCTAAGGTCCGTGGTAGGGGATCACCACCTCTTCTCTTAAACCCCTGGCCTGCACATAAGGGAACTAAAGTATAACTAATATATCATACTATGGTTTGGATCAGCAATACTGCAATAAAACAAATAAAAAAATCATATGGTTCTAATCAGCAATATAGCCAAAACATTTAATGAAAGATTCTAAAAAAAGTTACATTTGCACATATTTGGTCATCTTTGGCCAGTAGGTTTTTGGTTAATAATCTTTTATAAAATTATACTGGTTTGTCATCTCAGACATTTTAAGATATATTAATGGTTTTGAGCATGTAGTGTCTTCAATAAAGCATATTAAAAAAGGAATCACATTCAAACAAAAGATCAACCTTACATTTTCTTTATTTCTGCATTACAAAACGCAAGGAAGAACATCCCAAGGTGGTGTGTGGGATGGCACAAGTCATCTTTATTCCTTGTTACCAGCCTTCTGTGCTTGTCTCTCCTTGTATCTCTCCATCTGCTCCTTGGGGGTAAGGTTGTGCTTGCGGGCATACTTGAGGTTCTTAAGGAACTTGGGGTCCACCTGTGCACAAGATGTGATGGTAAAAAACAATTTAATTGGGTTTCAATCATTTGCTTACTACACATTTTTCCTACATCTTTTATTGAAAAAGATTCTTGTTTCTTAACCACAAAGTTGATGACATAATACATGTTTCAATAAATGAAAAGGTTAAATAAGGCTGAATATTAAGGTTATAGCACATTCATTTCAACTTTCAACCAATTTCATTTCTTGAATTTAGAGAAAAATGTATTATCCTTCAAGTGCATGTTTATACAATAATTATTTGAATGGACAAAAGATTTAAATAATATTCTAAATACTAAGCACGTTTATCTATTTTATGTATTGGGAAAAAAAAAAAGCATATGATAACTTACTCCTCCCATAGATGCATGAATCAGCACCTTTGGCTTGCGGATGGGGTTACTGGGGAAGAAAGGCAGCACAATTGAGTCTCCATGAAAAGGACTGTGTATATATAACATAAATGCTTAGGTATTTTATAAGCATTATTTCAAGGACCCTTATTCTTAATCCTTGACACCAGGTACATCTATCAACCATGATTTTGTTATCAGTTTTGTTTACACAGATGTCTTCACAAGCAGTCAAAATATAGTTGATAACCTTAACTGGTTTTGCCTGCTTATCCCAAACCTTGCATTTTTGAAAGAAAATGCAATTCTAATACTATATACTGAACTTCTATCATCAATATGGTCATTATCATATATGCAATAGTTAAAACTAACAAAAGTTATTTTTTTATTTAAGGAATGAGGGGAAACAGTCAGATCGGTTGTATTATTAACTTCTTGGTTAACTAGGTGCTTTTGGAGTCATCTGTATGTAAATAAAATAAAATGATACTTTAGAGAAAAGTGCAAGAACATTTGGTGTCACCAGGTTAATCAGGAAAAGTCATTATACTTACCGGTGAGCCTTGCGGTTCTGGTTATGATTGGTATGATTCTTTGACTTGGCCATTGTTTATGTTTCAACTTTACCTGAAACAAAATATAACTTTCAATACCTTGCATTTTGAGGTGCATAACAATCCAAATAATTACTATGAAGAAAGGGGAGATATAGGAGAGAAAAAGGAGAGGGAGAGAGAGAGGTAGAGATCTTTTAAAGACTACTGTAAAGCAGGCCAAAAAGTGCAAAAATAAGCTACATGAACGAACCGGTTTGTTTAAGGAGGAAATACCATAATATATAAATAAGGAATATTGTATATAGCTTACACAGATTAATCTTTACATTACGGATGCACTAAGGGCAAACTGAATATGATGTTGTAGAGGACAAGTTGCAGTATTTGGTACAACAAATCATCTGCAGATACCACAAATAAAGAAAAAGATTGTGGAAAGCGCCACTCTCAGCTTTAAGTCCACTTGGTACTCCCGAATCTTAGCTCTATCATACTGTGCATACCAAAGTGAAGACCATTTCCATGGGGGCCCAAAAGGTACACCCAGACATGGCAACTCAGCCCCATTTTGGAGTTTCATGAACTATCACTATTACCCCCCTTTGGAATTTAGTCTGAGAGGGTGCATCGCTATTGGTAACAATTACCTATTAATAATCAAGGTAATTCTTTACAGTATGGACGCACTTGCCAGAGAGAAGTCCCAACTAAACGTCAAAGAATATATATTCATCAATCTAAGTTTGCTGTGAGTAAGGTTGTCCTTCAGGCACTATCTGACGGGTGGGTTGATGGGAGGCAGTCCCCCATGAAACATTGTCTTCACCTCAGTATGCAGAGCAACAGAGTTGAAACTCGGGGAGAGACCAACGCTTTCTGCAATCCTTTTCCTTTATTTGTGAAGTTACCATTGATGTCTGCAGATTATTTCTTGTACCAAATATGCAACATTTTGTATCCACTATACGAATATCATATTCAATTTGCCCCAACTTAATGCATCCATACTATAAAGATTAACCATAATTAATTCTGATAAAAATTACTATATTCAGGAGAAAAGAAAAGAAAAAAAAAAATTCTTTACAAAAGAAGAAACTTGTACATAGTATAAAACTTATTCTGTATACAGATGAAATACTCAATGCCAAGTTTATGTTCAATACCAGAACACCCTCACACACTGACGGTTCTCTATATGTTGGCACAAAGTGCTAATAAAGGGGGGGTAACAGGCTACAGTAACATTGAAAACTATAGAAACAAATAAAAGTTCCATTTACTCTAGAATTCCCAAACAATTACCCTAGTTTATTCTTTATCTTAATTTGTGAGGCTGTATTCTATCCAAACTCACTTGGCCCTTCCTATGGTAAGTGATGGATGGCCTATATTTTGGATCCAACACGACATCAGTACATGTCCAAAGATTACCAAGCTTAAAATATGGATGAAAGCCAACAATTCTCCAGTATATTTGTTTTATGAATATGTTCACAGCAACAAATGTAGAAAGGTCTGAATGAGAGTGCATGTCTAAACAGCACAAGTGTATAAAATTTTCATTATCATTTACTTTGCAAAATGTGAAATGCCTTTTTTAGCACTGCGAGGACAATTATTCATGTTCACATTAACTTCTACTAGACAAGACATTTTTAAAACAAAGCCTGTCACAAAATTCAGAGACTTTATACACAACTGCTAATTTTTTCCTTTTTAAATTGGTGCATTTTGGGCAAAATTAAAAGGTTGGTAGTAAAGTTTTATACAATATTACTGGAACAAGATCTTGGTGGAATTTGGTTTATCTTTAAAATATGGATACACTAAGCTAGGGCAAATATATGATATTTTTTGTACAGGATAAAGGCAGTCTGTGCACACAAAATAATCTATAGACGTGAATGGCAACCCCACAGATTATGAAAAAAGATCAGAGAATGCCCCACTCTGAGCCCCTAAGTTTCAGCTTCCCATGGACCAGACTGAAGAGTTTTACTTGCGCACAGAATATTACATTTTTTCAAGTGTGGAAAACATTTTTTTCTACATTTGCATGGATGGATGAAACAAGTGCACGGAAAGGTTAAAAGAATTTTAAAGTGTGGAAGATGACAAACAAGAACTAAGCATGCGCGGAAAGTTACCCCCGAGAACTAGATTTGTGTGGACAGAATTTGGCCAAATAATTTTTGAGTGGAAATGCAGACCAAACTCTACAGTCTGGCCCATGGAGACTGAGGGCAGTGTCCTGAGGGTAAGCTCTGCCACGGTAACTCAAATTGTTTAATAAATTCTGTGATGTAGAGTTGGGGACTTCATCTCTGGCATGTGAATCCATACTATATACAATTACCAGAATTACTAAAGCAACTTCGAAGTAGCAAGAACGTTTCTACAATTCCTTAACCAATGCCAACGACGATTTGCTACTCTCACTTGTTCATTCATACAACCTCCAATATATCAAATAAGTTGAACCTGGGTCTATAATAAATCCCTCATACCGTGGGAATAATAATGAAAAAAGTTATTCCGAATTTTTTGCCAGCATGTTTTTTCATAAAGGTTTTAATTCCAATAGCATTGTTCTAAATTTTCAATAAATATAATATTCTCTATTCATTTTTTACTTCCTACTTATATTCACTTTTTTCCAAATACATATCAAAGAAAATTGCTCAAAGCTTCTCATGCGAGAATTTGGTACACACGACCACCTTCGATTCATTGTGGAACAATTATGTTCCATTGAAAATATCCCCACAAATACACATTTAACGGCATATACTATGCTTCATATTATTTTCGAAACTTTAAGTTTCAATATAACGCACTAATTCACTATTTTTCTCTTACGATTGCAAAGATATTTCACGGTAACGTGAGGGAATTCTTAGATCTTACCTCTACTACAGTAAAGGCCGAAACGGGAAGGCCTGTCTCAACAACAACAAACATGAACACATCTTTGATAACATAAATACCAAAAAATATACATCTATTCTTTCTCTCATATCAATAAGAAAAACAAAAATCAGAAAAACCTTTGATTTATTCTAGTTTCGCTTTCCTAAAAACAAGACTTTCCATAAAAGAAATGCCTTTCTGCGATCCACAGATCTTAAAGATGCAATACCTCCTATAAACAAGTTAGATGAGCGTTGCGCGTAAAGACCTCTTCACATCACAATAAATTCAAATAAATTCGCTTATTTTTCAATCTATTAACAAAAGATTCCAGTTGATATACAGACCCACTTAAATAATTTAGACATATTATTTAAATATATATATACACACACACATACACATATGTATGTATGTATGTGTTGTGTGTGTTGTGTGTTTGTGTGTGTGTGTGTTGTGTGTGTGGTGTGTGTGTGTGGGTGTGTGTGTGTGTGTGTGTTGTGTGTGGTGTGTTGTGTGTTGTGTGTTGAATACACACAAATAAATATACATACATCCATATAATTATTATATATATGTATAGATATATATTTGCATATATATATGTATATATACACATGTATATATATATACATATATGTGTGTGTGTGTGTTGTGTGTGTGTGTGTGTGTTGTGTGTGTGTGTGTGTGTGTTGTGTGTGGTGTGTGTGTGTGTGTGTGGTGTGAGTGTGTGAGTGTGAGTGTGTGTGTGTGTGGTGTGTGTGTGTGGTGTGTGTGTGTGTGGTTGTGTGGTGTGTGTGTGTGGTGTGTGTGTGTGTGTGTGTGTGTGTGCGTGTGAATGGAAAAACACTCTACCGTGTTGATACTATGGTAGAAAACACACAATGCACAAATTACACTGATTTCAGTATATCTAGTTTGTGCATTGTGACTTTTTCCACTATAACTATGTATATATCTGTGTATATGTGCATATATATATATATATTATATATATAATATTATATATATATATATATTATATATGTGTGTGTGTGTGTGGTGTGTGTGTGTGTGTGTGTGTGGTTGTGTGTTGTGTGTGTTGTGTTGTGTGTGTGTGTGTGGTGTGTGTGTACATATACACACACATACATACATACTATATATATAGTATTATATATATATATATATATATTATATATATATTATATATATATATGTGTGTGTGTGTGTGTGTGTGTGTGTGTGTGTTGTGTGTGTTGTGTGTGTGTATATATATACATATACTATAGATATTGTATGTATATATGTATATATATTATATATATATTATATATATATATATATATATATNGGCGGAGGGAAGCGGAAGGGGAGGGACGGAGGCACGCGGCGGGAGAGGAGGCGGAAGGAGGGATGAGGCCTGCGGCGGAGGGAGGCGAAGGGAGGGAGAGGCTGGCTGGCGAGGGAAACGAAGGAGGGAGAGGCTGCGGCGGAGGGAAGCGGAAGGGAGGGAGAGGCTGCGGCGGAGGGAAGCGGAAGGGAGGAGAGGCTGCGACGGAGGAGGCGGAAGGGAGGGAGAGGCTGCGCCGGAGGGAGGCGGAAGGGAGGGAAGAGCCTGCCGGCGAGGGAGGCGGAAAGGGAGGGAGAAGGCTGCGGCGGAGGGAAAGCGGATGGAGGGAGAGGATTGACGGCGGAGGGAGCGGAAGGAGGGAGGCTGCGACGGAGGGAGGGGAAGGGAGGGAGAGGCTGCGCGTGAGGGAGGCGGAAGGGAGGGAGAGCTGCGGCGGAGGAAGCGGAAGGGAGGGAGAGGTGCGGCGAGGGAGAGCCGGGGGCCGCGCGGAGGGATGAGGGGCTTCGACATGGGGGGGGGAACTCTCTCAATGCATTCTTCTCGCCAACAGTCTGTCTATAACACACAATATCAACACAAAATGACACACACACACACACACTGCAACAGGAACAACGAAGGGAAGGGCAAGAAAAACACACGAATATGCATTGCGTGTGTTTCTTGCCCTTCTTCGTCGTTCCTGTTGCACACACACACAGCACACACACAACTACACACACAAACACAAACACACACACACTACCACACAAACACGACACACACACACACACACACAAACACACACAGACACAATCACACACAATAAGCACAAAGTCACAACACAAACACACACACACAGGACCTCCACACAAAACATACATATATCACACACAAAAACACACCACACACACACACCACACACATACATATCAAACAAACACACAAACACATACACACATACAGCCACACACATACACACACACACACAAATACACACAGCACACATCACGCACACACACACACACACAACACAATATATATATATATATATAACTATATATATATATATTATATACTATTATATACATATAAATTATATAGTATATAAGAGGATAGGGTGAGTGAGGTGGTGGGGGTGGTGGTGTGTGGGTGTGTGTGGTGGGTGTGTGTGTGTGGTGTGGGTGGGTGGTGGTGTGGGGTGTGTGGTTGTGGTGTGCGTGTGGTGTGTTGTGTGTGTGTGTGTGTATACTATGATATATATAGGCGGTATAGAGGTAGGGGTTGAGAGTAGGGGGGGGGGGTAGGTAGTAGATAATATATATATATGCAGTATAGTAGAGATATACTAGGTATAGGGGGTGAATGGTAGGGGTGAGAGGCACACAGCAGATATATGTATGAGTGTAGTGTAGGGGTGAAGTAGGTAGGGGGGGCGGGTGCAGTAGGGGTCTTTGATTACATGATTATTGATTAAGGTATGTTGATATTTGAGGGTGAGAGAGAGAGGGACGAAATCTGAAAAGAAGAGTTACGCGTGTCCGTTGGAGGCAGAGGTTCCGTCATGGCAGCATCCGTGAGAGTTGTTATTTAGTGTGTCTTCGTCACGTGGGGCGGTAATCCACCCTAAAGGCTAGAAAATATAGGTATGTTTGTGCTTTTTCACATCATATATTTGCTATTTATGGTTATCTTATAATGCGAGCGAGAGAGAGCGCGCAAACCGCACAAGTAGAGAGTTCTAATAACCATATTTTCACAGATATGAAACCATTTTCGGCGCAGTGCGTGGTCGAGAGAGTGCGATGAGGCGGTCGGGGCTGTGCGCGCAAGAGCAGTCCGGTGGAGAGGATAGGACGAGGATGTAGAGAGGGTGGTAGGGGAATGTCAGATTTTTTTAAGACTAGAGTTTGGGGTGTCGAAGCGGATGCCGGAAGGATGAAGAGGAGGCAGGGGAGGAGGGGGAGGAGGACCACTACAGTAGGGCAGGGGGAGCGAGAGAGAGAGCAGAAGAGAGAGGAGAGAGGAAGGAGAGAGAAAGAAGGAAGAGGAGAGAGAGAAGATGAGAAGACTTAAAGACAGGACAGAAATGGGGAGGACGAGGAGAGAGAGAGAGAGCGAGACGGGAGACGTTGAGAGACGGGAGAGGGAGGAAGTGAAGGAGTAGAGGGATGGAGGGAGAGAGAGAGAGGAAAAGTGATAAGCTGAGGGAGAGGAGGACTGTCGAGGGGAGAGCGATGGGAGAATGGGGGAGAGGGAGAGAGGATACAGCGAGGAGACAAAAGGAGAGAGAGGAGGAGGGGAGGGAGAGGGCGGGGGAGAGAGGGAGGAAGGAGGGTGAGGGGAGGGAGGAGGAGAGTGCAGGAGGAAGGGAAGGGGACAGGAGGAAAGGGAGAAAGAGAGGTGAGAGAGAGAGGAGGGAGAAGGAGAGAGGAGAGAGAGGAGAGAGAGATAGGAGGGAGAGATAGGAGAGAGAGGAGCTGGAGAGCAGGGAGCGAGATAGGGAGAGAGAGAGGGAGAGAGGACGGTGAGAGAGCGCAGGACAGGGAGGAGAGAGAGATGAGGAAAAAAGAGAGGAGAGAAGGAGAGTGTGGAGCAGAGCAAGGGTATCGGAGAGGGAACGGAGAGGAGGAGGAGGAGAGAAGAGAGAGGAGAAGGGCGGAGAGAGATGCAGACAGAGAGGTGGAGAGAGGAGAGAGATAGAGGAGAAAGAGAGAGAGCGAGAGAAGGGAAGAGAAGAGATGAGATGGTAGAGTTAGCAGACAGGACAGGGATGCGACGAGAAAGGAGAGCGAGGGCGAGCGGTGAAGACTGAGGAGCGCGGCGGCTAATGGTCGCGGCTGAGAGGAGCGGCTTCAAGACGAGTATGCGGTAGAGCAGAGACGTGAGGAGCAAGGGAGAGGGTACGCGGCGGAGAATACAGGGCGGGACTGGGCGGTAGGGGGAGCGTAAGAGAGAAAAAGAGAGGCTGAAGGGGAGGAGAGGAGAGCGAACATGAGAGAGATGGGGAGGAGCGGAGAAGGATGAGCTGATAGGTGAGGCTGGGGGAGAGTAGAGGAGAGTGGGGGGGGAGGGGGCGGTGGGGAGGGGGGGGGGTTTTTTTTTGGGGGCTGGGGGGGGTCGTTATTTGTTTGGTTTTGTTTTTTTTTTTTTTGGTATAGGGTGGGGTTCTTTGTTTTCTCGTCGGTCGGGTATGACGCCGCTGCATGAGAGTTTCTTGTGCGACTTGGGAGTCGATCGTGTAGATTCGAGCACTAGAGCGAGACGATGATTATAGGCGATGTAGCGTATAGGCCTTCAACTGAGGCAGGATAGCAACGCTGAATGTCGTACATGTTATTTGGAAGTCTTTTAGATGCTTGACGTAGAGTTGTCTCTTAAGGAGGGGTCGAGACTGAGACTTTTTGACACGATATGAGAGTCTAGTAGAAGATTGTAGCCATGAGTTAGATCGCTATCGAGTGCGACGTCGTACGAGAAGGGGCGTCGAGATTGCCGACAGAGATGCCGAGGATAGGATGGGTAAGTATGGCTTGAGAGCGAGTGTTGTGGTCTGACTAGTGGTCGCGAGGTCGCCGTGCAGAGCGATCTTTAAGGCGAGAGTGAGCGCGTTCAGGGGGAGGGCGGGGCGTGAGTCGTGTTGTAGCGGGTGTTAGTTAGACTGTTGTGACATCGAGTCGTGAAGTGACCGTGCTGTGACGTAGATCATATGAGTTGATAGCGATGCCGATACAGCAGCGAGT